TGCTGCTTTCTCTTTTTCCTTTTTCTTTTGCCCCGGGGGGAGCCACTGAAAGAACCTATCGAACAGTAATGTAACCATAACTGCATTTGCTTTGATTAAGCCCCAAATTAGCAGCGGCAAATGTCTGGCAAGGACATACGCCACCGGCAGCTGCTCTCTGCTCCGAGTGCCTTTCTCAATTAACCTGATGGCTGAGTCAGGAACGAGCCCGACTAACGAAGGAGCTTCGGGAGCTGCAGCCTGGAGTACTCCGAGTATCTCAGGGGGGTTGGAAGGTGGTGGTGACCCCCCCTCAGTCCTCTAGAGAGGGTAATAGAAGCACTGAGTGAACTGGGATGCTGCTTGCTGGGCTGAGGATTAAAATCCCTGGCAGGAGGAGTTGGTCGGCGAGGGCTGGCGTCCCGTGGGCTGGGTTTGAAACGCCAGGGACGGTGCTTTGACCATGGCAGGCGACCGCAGGGTCTGCGGTGACCGGTTTGTGACAGTGTCCATCCCTGTGGGGTGGCCAGGGCATCGCTGGGGTGGCCGGGCTGTGTCCTCCCGGGGTTGCGCTGAGAGCTGGGGAGGTTTTTTCTCCTCTCGGTGGGGAGGGCAGGGGACGGGGGGCACGAACCAGAACTAAACTCCTCTTTTTCTCTCTCTTTCCTTCCTCTGCCTCTAACAACCTTCTTCCGTCTCTTCTTCTCTCCTTTCCCCTCCATCCCTCTATCTTGCATGATCTTTCACGCACCACTTTTGTCGGCCCGTTTCTGCTGCCGCTCCAGAGGGAACGCTGGGGAGGAAGAGGAGAAGAGGTGTGTCTGTCCCCGTACTCGGTGCATTAGTGTTGAGAGGCCGAAGCTCACTTCAGGTCCAAACCCTGCCCTGGGGAGGGGGGTAACACGTTTCAGGGGGGCTCTGAAAGGCCCTTCTCCAGCGGGGAGGAACGGCCGCCGGAGATCTGGCTTCACGTGCATCCCCCTCTCAAACGGGCTGGAGAGGTTTAGATCGGTTCCCTTTTAACATGGATTTTTAAAAAGAAACCCGACCGGTTTCAAGCTCTGATACTTCACCGTGGGAAGGAGATGCCCAGCTGCTGGGGAAGCCCGTTCCCCGGGGCAGGTTTTGGACATGAACTGAGCCTATTCATGGAGAAAGCATCCCCCTCTCCCATCCTTCCCGCTTGCTCCCGGCTTCTGCTGCCACGTAGGATGTGCCGAGGATCCTTTGCCAGCTGGAAAAGCTGGTCCTTTTTTTTTTTTTTTTAATGCCCTCTTGTGCTGCCATCTCTAGATTTTTATCTAAAAACGCAAACGGGGCTGCATGTCGCCATCGTGAGCGCGTCCTCCGGGTCGCAAAGCTCAAAAGCAGCCGCATCCATCCACGCTCCGAGCTGCGAGCGGGGAGAGCCATCGCTCTCTTGCTGGAGCATGGGATATTTGATCTTGGAGCAAATCACATGGAAGTGATGGCATTAGCAAAGAGGATGAGGGCTCTTTGAAGCTTGGCAGTAAATCTTCCGCGTGGCTAAGGCATGCGCCGGCAAGCGGGTAACTTAAATATTGCTCAGACGGAGCGCTGCTCGGGTTAGCTCTGCGGGGTGCAACGCTGCTGCTGAAACGATGCTGAGCCGCCGAAGCCACGTCTCACCGGCGCGTTCTCGCCGGCCCCTGCCCGCGGCGAGGCTTTCCCGGGTACCCTGAAATACAGGCAAGGCGTTAGCACAGCCCGTGGGGGTACGCACCCCTGCGCCTGCCCCGCCGTGCCGGTGTAAGGATCAAAGGGTTTGAGTAGAGCCACATGTGGGCTTTCCCCCTTCCCAGGCATGTTACTCCCGAATAACAAGCCAGAAGCACGGCGAGCTTTTCTTGGGCACTTTGATAATTTTTTTTGCTCCCTCCTTCCTCCCTCAAAAACATAAAAAGGCAGGAAAAAAATAGTTACAAACATTCTTCTTCTGTAAGTGGGCCAGTGAGATCTGAAGTTTTGCTTCCAGATTTCAAAGCCCCTTAATTTGATTCTTCTCCTTTCTTTTCAGCCTCCAGATTTGGTTGTGGTTTTTATTTGCTATCGTAAGCTTTATCTGGGAGAAATTACACCTTTTTTTTTTTTTTTTAAATCCCTTTAAACATATATAAGTTTCCAGAGCCCTGTAAATATAAGCAGCTCACCCCTGGAGACCGAAGGCTCAGCAGCTTTCGCACACCCGGGCTTGGCTGACTGGGGTGAGGACAGGCTCCCCGTGGTGGGGTCAGCCTGCCTGAGCACTCATCCTTTTCCAGTTTCAGCAACACAAACACGCGCTGGGGCTGAGCTAACCTCTCGGAATTTACTGGGAGACACCCTTCTTCCCAGCCTCCGCTTCCACCCACGACACAGCTCCCCTCATCCTGCGTGGCGTGCGGTCTTGCTCCTGGTGTTCTCCTCTTCCTTCTCCTCCATAGGGCTATTTTTCTTCTACCTATCCCTGTTTTTCCTTGCTTTTTCTCCTCTTATCCCTGGCTGTAACCTCACGTGAGTCCTCGGGAGAGGGCTGGCTTCACCCTGGAGCTGTATCCTCCCCGGCGTGCATGCACCGGCCTCCCCTGCCACCCCCGGGCGTT